CGACATTACTGTTGATACAGTTTGTTCATAGTTGTTATAACATATTATTGTATTAAGAGCAAATTTATTTAGTAATTGATTATAATAATCGAATTTGTGGAGAGAAATAATCAGTAGGAATAATTTTCCTACTCTATATTTTTGATCACCTCTCCGTGATCAAGGATCAACGCAAAATTAAATTAAGTTCACTCCATCACACCAATAACTACCTATGTATAAGCCGCTCTACTATAAAACCGACTCGGATGATGGTTGACGATCAAATTTGGAGCTTCACACAAAATCATTCAACAAAGCCTCCCTTACACGTCTAAATCAAACACTACACCCAAGTGTAGATCTAAAAATGAATATGTAGTACGACTGCTTGTTAAACATTTCAGCTGTTAAGTCCTACGCTGCACGTGCATCGTTACCACAACAATTCATTTTTCAATCACTCAAATTTTCTAGCAGACAATATTATGTGACCAAATCAATTTATTTATTTTGACTTTATAACATTAAATAGATAACTGATTATCTACTTACATTTAAATTTTACTTGCAATAACATTAAAAAGGTGTCTTGGAGTCCTCCCCTCGTTCTAACTACTCAGTAGTCTGTAATCACACCCCAAGAGTGTCATCAGAAGTAGATAGCTTTTCTGCCCAAGCACCGAGCTAATAACTATATCAATATTAATTTGAGTCACGCTTTTTATAGAAAAAAAGACACAAATTATTATTAACTGGAATAAAAAACGAAACAAATAAAGTATAACACACAAAAATATTGGACACTTTGTAGGTTTTCTACGAATTTTTCAGACATCTTAACTAAACTCCATGAAAAGGGTACGCGGATATCTAAGATGCAATTTTACACAGCTCATTTTTTTTTAAATTTTTAATTTTAACAAACAAATTGTGAAATATTTCAGTAAATCTCAAAAAGTGGTCGTAATATTATTATCTTAAAACAATGGACCTCCTTCGTTTTCATTTAGACCACTTGATATAATATAGTGACTAAGGGATGATCTTCGAAAAATGCTTCTATCTCAAAACGTATCAAACAAATAATTTATCACGAAGTTGCGGTTGTGTAATTATGATGGTCGATAGTTTTAGTTATGTAGTTAGGGCGGATTTATTGAATATTATATTTGTACACACAGCTACTGCTGCGGCCGCGATCGATATAAATATAATATTATACCTGTACAGTATACATATTAATATAATAGTATGGTACGTCGTCCGTTGTTGCCAACCAACGCATCGAACATTGCACAACCCAGAGCGACTGCCGTGATAATATTATGCACTCCTGTATTTATATAATATTTAATATTATAATAATATGAACTTTTCGATATAGTTACTGCAATCGCCCGGCGCGACAATAATAATTATTCGTTAATCGTGATTCGACGTTTATCATGATAATGTGTGAATTGTGCACTAGCCAGTGGCCGTACATGGGTAGGCGGCGTTATATAATATTATATAGCGGTTATTGTTTCGACGACCTAACCCGTCTGCATCGATCGCTAAAACGCAAAATATATTATATCACAATATATACCATGTAAATGTAAACAGTACACACACTATATTGTAACCAGCAAGGTACTGCTCATCTATCGTCAAAGGGGTACAGAACGGATTAGGTATTATTATTATTATTATTATTATTATTATTATTATTATTACGATTAACATTGATATTATGATTTAGCGTTATCGTTATTAATTACTTACTTATTAGTTATTACACTTATTAATATTATTATTATGGGTTTCTATTACATCGTTCGGTATGGACGTTATAATCACATTCATAATTCATATTAGCTACTGGCTCATTGTTTTCTAATTTTATATTCACAACTTGTTCATATGCCCGTCTGTATGTAGGTACTTCCTAATTGTTTATACTAAAATTGTTTATAGTTCGCGAAAGGCTGTACAGCCGTGGAGTTCGGAAGAGTTGACTTCTCCAACTACAGTTAGTACTCGCAGCCACTCGGAAATTTACCGATTCCCTAGTGGCCCAAGGCGTCACTGCCTGTGCACACTTAGTAATATAGACACTTGCAATGGGCACAGGCAATTGTCGCCCAAAAACTACCAAATAAAATATTATTAATTTTATCAATAGAATGATTTTCGCTCGTCGATAGTTTGATTAGTTGGCGATAAGTTGTGCCTTTAGAAAATTAACTACCTATGAAATCATAATAATATGTTTGTCTGTGTATACTTATTTCAACTATAACTTATATTTCGTCAAGCTGTAAATAATAAATATTGTATTGGTGATGATTTACTTTTTTCATATTCATAATCAAAATTATTAAAGTATAACTGTCTACTTCAACACAACCTAAGAAGCGCATACTATTGTATTTTGTGTTTGTTATACAAATAAATAATTTTAAAGATGAATACGTTTTGGTAACTTTTGCCCCATAACCAATTTTAATATTTAAAATGACGCAAATTTTGATTTTTTGTACTTTTGTGCAGAGTACAAGTACTAAAATTGGTGAAAAATACCATCTTACCTGGATTTCCGTTATTGACGAGAGAACAAATATATTAATATGATACCTATAATGCCACGCAGCAGTTAGCTATTAACTATAGTAATATTGTTGCAATAGCCTGATGTGGTACGATGGTTGGCCGCAGTCATTAGCTCGAGCCGAGGTCAAACATCGGCCAGCGTCGTGAGTTCGTTTGGATGGGTGACCACCCCGGTTTTTAGGGACAAATCCTCGCCACATATACCTACACATGTTCCGAACCAACCGTATCCTCCTGCCATAGAAAAACAGGCTAATGACTATCACCCAATGTTTCTGTGGGTTAAGTAAAAGAAATAAAGATAATAATATTGTTATGTTATTATAATGTCGTGGCCGCGAAAATCGGTGAAACGGCTAATCGCAGACGCGATACGACCCGCGCCTCGGTGATGATGATATCCGCGTGGGCATAATATTAAAATATTTTAACTGAAACAAAAAAATAAATATAATACGCATACAATTTTTAACGACACGACGTTAGGTGAGTTCGCCGCCATATACGAAAAAAAAAATGAATAAACAAAAAAACCGCATTCGTGCACTTTCTAAAATGTCGAAGATAAAACCGGAATAAACATAGGTACCTGTATAGTATATACATATAATACATACGTTTAGAGTATAATAGGTTTAATAATATAAGCATGTGGGTACGAATTGTGTCCGGAGAGAGACCCCGGATACATTTTGCCAGTTGCCTCCCAAAATAATATACTAAGTCTGAGTACATCTATATTATCCATATGATTATAATATCATGTACGCCTACATATAAGTCATAATATTATTAGGTATGAAGGATTTATTAATGATTTATATATGCGTTGATGAAAATTTATATTTTATTTTGCAGTGTCATTTTACAAATTTGGTAAGTTATGTCTACGAGTCACCGACGTACGATAATTATTAATGTTCTATTTTTTCTATATTTTAAGTATAATTCACACACCGTTATGCATATCTTAACTGTATAGACACGAAAATACAAGTTTCGTGGTATACACATATACGAAAGTAGTGTACATGCAAGAAGCCACGCTGATGAATGATGATATTTCAATATTCCACAATATCAATCATGCGAATACGCCAAACTTTGACGAAAACAAATTAAAACAAATCAAAAATACTTTACGGATGTATTTGCTGAGGTCAGTGAGTAACGAAATTGATTTAACTCTGCACATAAAAAGTAACAACGGTTTTCTCACTCAATCTATTTTAAAACCAGAAAATGCTTCACTTTCACTTATAGTGATCACATAGTTTTACAATAATACATAATTCATTGTATATTTTATCGTATAATTTTCATTGTATTTTTTAGCATTGGTAATATATATTATTAATTCAATAAAATTAAACGCATATTTTACTATTTTATGTTGCGTAAATCTTAGCCCTATAATAGGCAGTCACAATATTATTATCGTTGATATGACATGACCTATTATAATATAATAAATATTTTCTTTTACGAACTGATTTCGGTATAGTTAATCCCACGTATTATTCACAGTCCACAGATGATATAGAATTAAAAATGTATATTGGAAAAATTTTGTATAATTAAAAAATAAAATATAATACTCGTATAACAACAGCAGCATTCATAAAAGTTATAAATAAAATTAAAATTAAGGTAAGATTTAGAACAATATACGTTATATTATATAGTTTGTAGTCAAATTTAAATCTAAATATCCAAGGTCTCAATTCACTCAATGGCTTACTTTGTGATTTCATTAAAGCCGCATTGATCCTTTTATTTGGAAATCCATCAGTAATCTACACAAATAAAGGGATTTACGGGACAATGTTTGAGAGGGAGTAAGACCCTAATCACCCCCCAGAACTAGGGCACGCAACTGAATACATTATGTCTCATATGGTTTGGCTAAAATTAGCATATGGATAACATTCCTGGTTGTCCTTTAATGTCTACTTCTTGTACACCCACATCATATTATTCTCATATCTACCGTGTCCTGTTTTTATTTGGTTAAGGTAAATTTATTAAATTAAAATATAAGGTTAAATTTGTTTTTTTTAAAGATTATTTCTAATCTTTCTAATTATGTTTGCTTTTTGCATATCCGTGCTTAGTTATGATTTATGATTTCCACTGATAAAAACCTAGACATTTTATTAAATTTCTGGTTGTTTTTTGTTCAAAAGAACTTAAAACTAAAAATATTTGTTCTCCTTTGCATCATTATTTCGTGATAATAAACATAGGAACTCTTATTTGCGCGCTTATCTACTGATAAATCAGTAAAAAGTTAAAAGTAAAAGTTCTAATCAGCCAAAACAAACAATTTTTTTCTATTTTCAGATTTAACTAGTTTTTTTTTAAATTTTAAATAAACAAGAAATAAAATAAAATATTTATTTTATATATTTATATTTATTTAGTTTTAACAGTTACATTGACAAACGAATACATGTTATGTATATTATTAAATTATCGTAGTTTTAGTGTACGAGAATTAGGTATGCTACTACCTCGAACGTCCTCAACGAAAAACTCAAAGAGTCGCAGAATAACAATCATAACGATGAAGGGAGTTGACAAAAACATTGGACTCGACGAACGTCGATTTTGAAAAATGGAGTCGGATGTATTTTCCGTGTATGGCGGAGTGGAGACTGTTTTGCCGGTGCCAAAAGAAATCCCACTAAAAACGTTGGTCCGTTTCGAAGTGGTAAAAAAAATACGATTGGAAGAGCTTAGTGAAAGGTGCAAGCAGAATTCGTTTCCGTCTGCAGAGTATATTTGCAGACATTAAAAATATTTTTAAAGTTCGACCATCACGTCTGTGTTACCAAGCTTGCGGGGAGGAGGTCGAACTTTTCTAAAATTATTCCACGTCCACAGAACTCTGGCAGAAACAAATTCTGCGAGCTACGTTTACCAGGCATTTCCACACGCATCTTCTGGATCTCTTCCAAGCTGAACCACGTGTAGGCTTGGGTGGGATTTCCGATGACACGTGTGGAACAGGATTCTTTTCGCCGTACACAATTGAAAGAACTGTTAACTCCGGCGACGACTGAGATTTCCTTGCGAGTTTTTTTGGCAGCGGTGGCCTGCAGACGTCTTGGACAGCCAAGTCCAGTGCGGCGATTAACAAGGACCGATGAGATAGTCCCACGAATTTGATCGAGTCTGTTTGGGTGGCGTCCATATCTGAAGTTTTCTTTGAATGCTTAGATTCGCGTCAGACAAGCGCTCAACATATAATGACAAATTTCAAAAACAGTTTGTTAGTCTAATAGTTATAAATACTAGGTAATAGTATTGTTTTTTTTTCTGGTTTATAGTGTGGCCAGTATAGTTAGATTGTAGCCAGCTACTTAGTGGACAATAGTTACAATTGAATCATTATTTACCAGTTATTTTGATGAATAAGACCAACTAATGATCTTAAATTGATACCTATATTATTATCAGAATAATATCACATTGTGGCATGATCTAGATTATACGAGCCAAGATTTCAAATCTGCAAACTTTTTTACACAATTAAAACGATTATTTCTAGTTTAGAAGCATATTTTATATGTGCAAGATATTTGAATACGATATTGCTCATTTTAAGTAAGCGCCTATCAAATCATGTTGACATGGAGTGGTCATTTTTAGTTTACAATAGTCGTATGACTTTTAATTTTAAATGTCATCGAAAAATCCTTTATAGTTCAATGTCATTTTGATATTTAAAACCACTTGTTCATTAGAAACTACTAAAATCAAACAATAATAAGTCAGCTGAATAGTACACGAAAACACCCAAATATTCGTATAGTCGCAACAGAGTTTCTATTATTATATTAAACTATTAAAATACAAAATTACAAACAAAATTGATAAGGTGTTGGGGGGGGTGCGGATAGCTACTGTGTTAGTGGTTGGCAAGGAACTTAACAACTGCTACAACTGCAATATGTCTGCGCCATTATTCTCTACTCGTTTACCGCAATAGAAACGCAAAAATATATAATAAATAAGTAATAACACACCACTGTGTGCATACAGCCGGTAGGTACTACATTTACAACCAATAAATAAAAACGTATTATCGTCTATGTACGAATGCATCACGACGAACAAAAAACCTATCGCCAGCTGCAGTGTGACTCGATGTGTACTTGTACATGAGGAGGTACCTGCAGTGTATGTTATTATGTATGTCATTATACAGCAGCGGAACCGTACATAGGTAATATACCTAATATTAATAATAATGTTATTAATATTATTATTATTATTGTATTATTACGATGACGTTTGCCCCCCCAGGCCCGTTGTCAGGTCGTCGCATAAATAAATTAAGATCGGTCACGTGTTACCGCCGACCTTGAAAATCTGCACACTGCAACCTACCTACTATAATATATTATACTTACGTCCTATTATCCTTTTCACACGCACACAACAGCGCGCGCTGCAATATTATTACAGTCCGACTGCAGTGTAGCTGGGGCTCTTGCAGAGGGCTCCCGAGGCTAAGTGTGCAGCTGCATCTAATCTAAACTGCACCGGCGCACTATATGGTAATAATCATAACGAAACGCGCGTAAGCGTAGTAATGTAAAAATAAATAAATTGCACTCTGCTGCAGTTGTAGCTGCAGTCTTCTGTCTTCCGTCAAGGACTCCCCTGCTGCACACTTGCATCACGACCAAACACAACGAGCGCATTCGTCGTGTCGTGTTGCCCAATATACACTGCTGGATAATGCACCTATACGGCATGTAATTATATTATATTGTACTGCTGCAGCAAGCGGGCATTATTTATATTTTTATTATTATGCATGCAGGCGATAAAATTAACGACCAAGTCTCTCCGTCTCTTTCACTCTCTCACTTATTTTCTCTCTCTCCAGATCCCCCGCAATTGTCTCTCGCTCGGATATTATATGCGCACTATCCGTGTCTATTCGATATTTTTTATAAAATACTACTCAAGTAGTGCGCATAAACAACGATCATCGTCGTATTAAATATTATAATAATATTGTACATAGTGATTCGCCATGTATGCTTATTGCCGCCATTAATCATAATCCTTGATTCACGGTGAGTGTATTATACATTGTACCTATACTATTAGGTATTAATTTTATGTGGCATTCTATTCATCGTGTTATATTCTATTGAAATCACCGTCAATCAAATATGTTAGTTATGTTTTCGTTTTTTGTTTTATCTCCCTAGAAGTATTAGGAAAAATTTTGTGATAAGTTATAAAATATGACATAAACAAATTCATGTCCAACTCTGCAATGGGTTAATAAATAATGGTGCATTCATTCAAATTCTAGTTCATGGAATAATCAAAGTATTCTTAAAAAAATTCACTTCAGGTACATGGCTTTTTTTATAGATAGTTAAAAAGGTGCTTGTAACGATGTTAACTTATATTTTTAGTTGAAAACTTCTCTTTTTCCTGTGAATAGTTGTAAGCAGTTAAATTTCTTTTAAACAGGTTGGTGCATCTAAATTTAAAATTCAAACTGGCAGTTTCTTAAATATTAAGCTTTCTGCCTACAAACTTGTGACTAAGGATAATAATCCTTAAAATAATCGTTTTAAGTCAAGAATAAAATAGATGCCCACAATTTAAAATGATGATAAGTGATTAGGTGGTTCTCATTTAAAAAACAACTATACAATACACCGCGCTTGTTTGCCACTGCAGGACGGGTTCTGCAGTAAATGGCATGAATATATTATTACACTAATATTATTGAAGGAAAAATTGGGAGGGTAAACGTGCTCGGTGAATCACCCTGTATATTATAATATTATATTATTGTACAAGACAAAGAGAACACTACCCCAAGGTCGGTGCTGTAGATACGCGCGCTTCGCAACCCCGGCGAAGGTCTCGTGCACAACCGCGATAACCTTGACCTTTATACCGCGTGGTATACACACACTCACACACATGAAAAATATAACTTCAATGTTGGTGCAAATGTGGGACACAAACTGCGGTCCGCTGCAGTCGATAAAACAGGCGGAACCGGGGCCGCAGAAAATTCATTTTCGCGACTACACGCGCGTCATACAATCTGCTGGCGGCAAGTGAAGAGGGGGGGGGCGTGCTTTAAATAGCTGAAGTTTAGTGTTTGTACTTGACACCGCTGCAGCAGACATGGGTATACGTTTGAGTGGGTAAAACAGTAGGGCAAGCATCGTTTCCACCAAAACGAGTAAAAAATGTTCAGTTTTCGAACCACCAACAAAATTGCCATTTTTAAAATTACAATCGTTCCAGGTTTGAGAACCGCTAGTCATAATTACTATGGTATAAAGAAGTTTATACCGTTTCTAGGGTATTTTAAAAAATATATTCCCGAAAATATATATTACGACGTATCCACACACGGTGTGGTCCAATATCAGTGATCATTTATACAGAATTGCTGCAGTAACGAATAATATTTGAGAACCACTCCACTGACGTATCAACGACGAATTTTAAAAATCGCATCTCAAAATATCTTGACATATTTTTAAAAATGCTAATAATAATTTAAAGTGTATTCAAAGTAATGCTTGCATATACAAATAAATAGTTCTAAATTTAAAATACTATTACCAAATATACAAAATATTCAAAACCGATTATACGCTGAAACTGAAGTAAACAATTAAGTACAAAACTAAAAACATTACCAGTAGTTAAACATGAAATTTTGAAAAACAGTACCCATGTACCAGTGGACGTCTAAATTCGGCGGAAACGAAGATCAAACCTTTTTTCACTTTAGCCAGAGCCGCATTTAACGGAGGTCAAGGAGGAGGGGCAATTGCCCCTGGGCGGCAATTTTAAGGTGATTTCAGGGGTGGCAGATTTTAATATTTTAAAACTAACGGAGAAACGTATTAAAATATATTTCTGCTGTGTTTGTGATAGCGAAAAAAAGATAGGTGAAAATCATATGATATTTTTTAAAAATAAGCGGAGGTGGCAAATTTTGTATTGCGCCCCGAGCAGCAATTTGGCTTAATGTTGCACTGACTTTAGCGGGAACGATAGTCTATACATAGTGTTGTCAAAAACGAAAATTTTGTTTTGGCGGAAACCAAAAATTCCCGCACAAGCCTACTTGGACGACCAAAATAAGACATCAATGCAATCATTGTCTATTTATATGCCTACGTCAGTATACCCATAAGGTATAAATGAATAATATTGTACAGCGTGTTGCGTATTAATTGTATAAGTAATATTATAAGCAGGATCAAGTAAAATCCTTAAGCGCATCGTATTGAATTAGATTTTCAAAAATCGAATTTATTTTAATTTAATTTATTTTACTTCCACTGCATTATATGGGTACAATTCCGCACTCGAATTGTGAAAACAGCCTTGCTAATCGTCGATAATCGTCTGCTAAAAACGTTGACTCGATAAAAAAATGTCGACCTTTTGATCGGGCGGCGTTGGGGACATGTGCGTCTCAATCGCGCAGTTTCGACGTGTAACCGCGGTGGTTTATGACACGGACATTCGCGGTTATTCAATATTAAAATGACTAGAACATATAAAAGCATTATATTATCACTGTCAGCTGTCACTATCACTTGCCCAGTGAGCTCAATATGCTATCACTATGTTATGCTGTTGTACTTAACAGGTAATAGTTCAACGACCCGTTTCGACGACATATTTTATTGTATAGTAATATTGTGCATATTTATAATCGCCATGCAGAGCGATCAATTAAGATCGTCTGGCCGCCCGTGTCCCCTTGCAGCACTGCAAATTGCAATACGATTATTTTGATTTTAAAATATTTGCGCGTTTTTGTGCGAATACGAATAATTTCACTTCTCTTTGAAATATTATAACAGGGTATTATAGTGCATCGCAGTATTGCGGCGCGTACACGTGAATTCTTACCTACACATTTGTATCTGAAATACGTATATACTACTTGTAATGAATATTAATGCGGTTTAATAACGGTCACCGCTGAGGATTACATTTTTTTTTTTTTGCTAAAAAAAAAAACAACAATAAAATCTCAAGGAGAGTGGGCATCAAACGATTCATCAAACTGTACGCATACATGATATTATTATGTTATTAATCTTATTACACCTTTCCAAATCGCATCTACTGTTATAATACGGTGTCCCGAATGTAAATGAGCAAAATGAAATTGATCGATACTTAATGGTGTGCTTTTGCGAGAAACGCGTTACGAAACCGTGGTAATGCATATTATATATTTATATTATATTAAACAATATTACTCCTGCAGTGCTCCGGTCATTTATCATCAGATATTATATTATTAAGTTGACTATGCAGCCTGCAGGCAAAAATATAAAATAATAGATTCAGCATTTGACTAAAAACCGCGCAAATGTGTTTAATTATCACTTCAACCATTATTGTGTATGTGTCTTGCGAAATAAATTATTATTCTCAGCGTTTCGTTGTTGTTAGAGTTTATCTTCTAAATTATACCAAACGTTTAGTGGACACTGGACACCTGTAACTTATTCACGTGCAGCTTTACGCAATGTATACATGCGTGGTGTCCAACCTTCACCGTATTATTTTTAGGTCCGCTCGAGTGAAGAATTAAATAAATTAAAATTTACTCGGTGCGTTTGCTGTTTAACGACGGAGGATGGTGGATTAGAAACTAATATGTTTGCCTTTGCTGGTTAATAAAACTTATAAATAATTAAATCGAAATGGAAAAAATATGCAAAAATGTTGTTCGCCCAACGTGGGGCTCGAACCCACGACCCCGAGATTAAGAGTCTCGTGCTCTACCGACTGAGCTAGCCGGGCTGGTGAAGAAATCGATGAAAACAGGTTTATTTAACTTACTTTCGTATGACTAAAATAAAAGACAATCACCAATTAATACATCAAATAAATTGGTACCTACTTGGAGGACGGAAATAAAATCACAACTTCTCAGGAAACGAACAAAGTTTCATTAAAATTAACTACCAATCTAAAGGTTAAAGATATAATAATGAAGTTACCTATCCAGATCTAAAGTAATCGAGCATATTTTTTTGAAAATGTTGAATGTATTTTACTGTTTATATACTATCTAGGATCTACAGAGGTAAAATTTGATGTGGCCCTCTATTGTATTGTATCCATCTACATCAAAGAAACGATTTTCCATAATATACGCATTTTAAAGGGAGCTCACATGATGATTT